TTGGTGGTTTTAGTGGCGCAGGTTTAGGGCTGAAGAAGATCCTAAGCAGTGGCTGCTTGAACAGAGAACATTCAATAACCTTTTTAGGTAAAATCTTAAGAGTTCAGAACCTGATGAATTATATTTCTAGATTGTGAAAGAAAAAATTAAATATGCAGACTCAATCAACATGACTGTAACTCAATAGTAAGTGATTCAAAGCATTGATAATTCGTCACTTTTACAGTAATTTCTGACATAGCATTCAAATATATGTTCAAACTATTAAAATATTCTCTTAGCTCTAACTGAACCTATGCAAAGTCTAAATAAATCTTATACCATATTGGAATTTTTATAGCAAAATTAAGCACTTAGTATTGCTATTCAGTAGCGTCAAAACTTATTATATTTATAGGTGTGTATATAAAGAAAAATACAATATGCTAAATTCAATAGGTACTAAGCAGAAATGCAGAGTTATGTGGACATCGGCATGTATAATAATACGGGCACTATATAACTTTCATTTGCTGCCCAAAATACAATCCTATCGGCATGTATAATAATACGGGCACTATATAACTTTCATTTGCTGCCCAAAATACAATCCTATCGGCATGTATAATAATACGGGCACTATATAACTTTCATTTGCTGCCCAAAATACAATCCTATCGATATAAGTTGGTATAAAAGTTCAAGTGACCTAAAGTCGCATTTTCTTTATTCTTGGGAAACTAGTTTCTACACTATTGGTCATGGAAACCTTCTCAATGGCAATGATTTTACTTTTACACTGTTTCAATAGAAAACCAGCCTTCTCACAACTAGCTGCAAATAGTCCAAACGTGGGACCTTATGGGTTTTACCAACCACATTTTACATTGTTTACTTCCTTTCACATGTGAGATTTGTAAATATATTGTAAACAATATATTTTTCTACCCACTGACATACAATACATTGCCCCCAATGTAGTATTTTTATCCTAATTATATTTGTTTGCATTTGATCAGATATGCAGTTCTGTTGTTTTTGCGCTAGTTGATTTAGGTTAATAATATTTGTGAGGATGCAGGATGATACTTATATATTATAACGTTTTTTTATGGGTGTTCTTGTATAAACTGTGTATCTTTATTTGTCAATAATTCAGAACTTCATTCTTCCTGTACTTTTTTGTAAGCATGCTATCAGCATACAACAGTAATAATAATACCAAAATGGCTATTTTGTTGAGTCGAATTAAAATTGGACTCATTAGATACCTATGTACGTATATAAACAATTGTTTAACAACAAGTAAAAGCTTGGAATGGTCTATTCTTTCATTGGGGTGTGTGTCTGTAGTCTGGCTCTCAGACACACACCCCACTCTCAGACACACACCCCAATGAAAGAATAGACCATTCTAAGCTTTTACTTGTTGTTAAAACAAATGTTTAAACAACTCTACTTATTCAATATAAACAATTAATGACTCTCTCTCTCTCATACACACATATCTATGTGTGTATTAAAATACCTTTTACATTCTTGACTGGTGTAATATTTTGTAAGAATATGTTATGCGTTATTAAAACGATACCACAAAAACTGTATCTAATATTTTTCTCTGTACTAAAATTTATTTCGCCCTTGTATTAGTAACTTGATGGTTTAAATATACAAAATATATAATATATTTCAAATCATATTATATTCTAAAATAATTAACTATTTCATTAATATTATGAACAAAATCAAGTTTTTGTTTTACGTACGATTTGGGTTGGACGTAGCGTGCAAGATTGTGGATTCGAGGGTTATGTCCGTTGGAGAAAATTCGCGCTCCGTACTTTGAGCTCATTGGTGTGTTATAAGATTGACGATCAAATCCCAATATTCGATTAGAGTAAACCAAGAATTGGCGATGGGTGCTGTTGACTAATCATTTGATTGTCTTTTAACTGTACTTTAGTATGTACTTATTTCTTTATTTAGATATTATACATTTGGAGCTGTATCTTTCTTGCAATATATATAAAGAGATTGGACAAAATAGTAGAAATATCTTCCCTCCCCCAAAAAAAGATAAACACGAAGTATAGTCATCATAGAGAGTGTGATGTTGGAAATCTTCAACAAGATTATAACATAGCATCTTCAATGATGCTGGAGCAAGCAAGCGATACCGAAGTCTGGTTTCAGAATGCTCTGTAATAATTATCATTGTCAGGGAGGCACAGATGACTGAAGTCTTTTTTTATGCTTGGTGAACCAGTCTACAGAAACTCCTGAAGTGTGGATAGGTACATTATCATCTTGAAAGGGGCCATAATCGGATGGATAAATGTGTTGTACCGTACAGTAAGCCTGATTCCTTCATATATTCTTTAAACGTTTGTCTGTTATCTTGCCTTTCAATGCAGGTATTTTATCAAGACTATAGACACTAAGCAGATGTGACACAGTAAAAAACCACATACAATCATTACATCTAGAACCAAGCACTTGCTTCATTGTTCTGCCTCCACAAATGCTCATTTTATGGATGTGCGAATGTGCATTTCTTGGAGTATTGGATGGCATGCATCTACCATATCTCACATGTATGATCTTACGACGTTCAGATTACTCTGACACTGGTTTTTGTCTTCTAGCATTGAATTCTGAGCTTATTCTGTTCTTTTATTTCTTCATTGTTTACTTTTACAAAATTCCTGAATATTGCCCTTAACGTTTAAGGTTTTTCCGGCAGTAATACATGCAGACGTCAATAATTTTACAGATATATCTACAAAACGAGCTTCTACACCAGTTAAAAGTGAGTGAGATCTTTCCTAATGAAATCCTGTCCAGAACTGAAGTATACCAGGGATTGTAGAATCATATGCTTATACTAACTTCAGAAACACAAGAATAAAACTACACGTTCAACGTGTCGACTTGTATATTTATAGGAGCAAATGATTCCAGACTTTGTACAACCCCTGAATACTACAGTTATTTATAAACTTTTACATTTAATCAACAAAACCACTGCTTTAATATCCATTATAAGTTATTTATTAACAGAGGTTCATAGCTGTCAACATCAGACCTTTAAAACAAGAACGACTTTTATTTTATAATTAACACTGCTTAACAAAAAACATCTATAATCTTAACTAATATGCATTGGTTGAATTTTACATTCATGTTACAGTTTAGCAGAGCCACGAAAATAAAGAAATTTTCGGTGTAGTACTAGAGAATTGACAGATGTACATGTTTCATAATTTGATGATAAACTCTCGTCATGTTTTTAAGAACCATGACGTATTTTGTTTTATGATACTAGCGTAATTATAATTTATTTGTATAATTTTTATGAACTAGAACTAGTTTACAGTAAAATAACGTTACGACGTATAGTGACTATACCACTAGTATGTCTGTAGTAACCCAGCCAGTCTAGTGAGCCGTGATAATGAGGGAAAGGCCTCGTTGGCACTGGACATGACAGATGTAGTTTGGTTGACATATCATGGCATATTAGACCATGATTTTACTCATGAACTGTTATATTTATCAAAGTAATTTCTCATTTTGATTCTGTGGTTGCTTGACTCTCAACGGAAACAAGAATACTAGCTTGCTGTTTCGCCAGATCTTGTAAATGATAGTAAAGTTCGTTAAAAAAATTAAAATGATAATGATAAGTATATATAGATAATCGGTGTTGAAATTGAAATAAAACAAATAATGTTCCGCTCTTCGTTCTTATCCTTAAAATGAGAATTGTAAGCGATTTAAATGAAATTAATGATAATTACAATTCACTTGCTTAATCTGTCCATGAAAAATAATTATATACATATATATAGTGCCTAGCATTGCCTCGTGGACATGATGATTACTGATGTTGAACGAAAAGCCTCGCCTGCACTGGATATGGCAGACGTAATGTGGTTGATTATAATTTGTTTTCACTCATGTGTCCTTAGAAGTACTGTCTTGGGTCCAGGAAGCGACAAGAGAAATATTACATCTAAAATTAACTTATAAATGTTTTAAATATTTATAATATCTATGTGTTGAAAGAGAGAAAAATATACTTTCATACCTAATAATTGCCATTCAAATGGAATGTTCCAAGAAGATTACAAAATATCTATAAAACCAAACTTGTTAGGTCAGGGGTCACCGACAGTGCACAGAGTATGCACTGAGCCGATAGAGAAACACATGTTCCAATTTTATGTATACAGTAAGTGCACTTGTATATTATGTAGTTTAGAAGTTTTCGTTTGAAGGTTTACCCAAATAAATTGTATACGATAAATAGATAACTTGAAAGATTAACCAAAGTATATTAAAGTGATCTTTAGTGTACTGTTAAGGTAAACGTTTATATCTTGCACTTCCATTAAACATCGAAATCCAAAATGATCTGTTTTGTAATTGTACATTTCAAATACCTTTATAGTGTTTATGGATACATGTAGTTCATGATGGGATCTTCCCAATTCATTTGCAGTTATTTGTTAGATCTTTCTATCTGTTCCTTTCTTTTTTCACTACTTTTCTATAAGCGCACAGTGACTGACATCTAGTAAGTTACTCCCGTTTGTAAATATACATTTACAATTGTAAAAATGAATAAAAAAAGACATTTTCAATTGTTTGGTTTAAAAATAAAGAAGTAGGATTTAAAATGGTTTATTCTGGGATATTTATTTATATTTTACTGGTTGTTACGTAGTTAGTAAATAATATAACTTAATCGTATTATAATATTACTGATTCGCCCAAAAATCACATGTTTTAAAATTTGGTATCAGTCTAAATCTTGCACAAATCATATAATTGATATAATACAAAATACAGTGATATTCCGTGTCGATTTTTATTTTTAGTTATCAGTCCATTTCTACACTGTTGTTCCTAACTTTCTGTCAGTGTGCTTGCCTGTATATAAGTTTCCTTCTTCATCTGTGTATTTCTTTACAGAATTAATTTTCTAACCAGTTCTTTTTATTGTCTCTTTGTTATAGGTGTCTGTTCAGCCATCTGGATCGCCATACGTTAACGTTTACATGAACCATGTTTCTTACGAATGCAACATTTCCGGTATATTATTTTGTATACAGAAAAAGATTTGCAAGTATACAAGGAAACGGAAAGAGAGCTTTGAGGAGCCGGGACTGGGCCTTATACGTCTTTCATGTACCCCACATGTTTATGAAATTACCAGCTTGGTGAACATGTGAGAAATAAATCAACAGCGATGTGGGGAGCAATAGGCCTCAAATCTCTACTAAAACGGTACTTGTTCGTCTTGCCTGTTGAAGTGGAAACCTTGTATATTTACGTTTTAGAAGAATTATAATGTAAATATCAAGTACAATTGTTTAAGCCACAATAAAATACAACGCGCTCAGAAAATAAGTTACTTGACAAATGTTTACTCCAAACTACACCATAAATGACTAAACTAAGAACTAAAATTAAAATCTTAACTTAACATACTCAGTTTGACTAGTATAAATGAAAAATAACATGTAATGCAAACTTTAAATAATAAATAAAATTATTTTTATCGCACTTTAATAGCATCGTTTTATTTCCCCTGTACAATATCAAATAAGAATTTAGCTGATATAATGCTAATACTCTGTATTTTAACTAACTTTGGAATTTTATGCATTTATCCGTCAAGTATGTATATGTTTGTTATCTGGAGTGGCTGATAAAGAAACATCAGCACCAATTTAATGATATTTCAATAAAATGATAAAAAATATGAAGAAATTAACCACTCAATGAAAAACTTGACTGATAATGGGACAATTACTAAAACTACGAATATTAACCTTTCTATGTTTGAGTTTCATTTGTTGTTGCTTTTCTGTATACATATTGAAGATCTATAGCTTCGTTAAATCTAAAGACTGAGTTAGATCAGCTAAGATGACTTTATAAAGAGGTTTAATAACATTTTATAAGAACGATTGCATACGCTTATGCAGTGGCATATTGTCGCACCATGGCATAAGAAGCAATAAGTCTGACTCATATATTCGGTTCATGAAAACTTTCTGACCATTCGACAGTGCAGCTCAGCTATGGTTAAACTTATGGCTAGAGAAATATGTTACATCCCTTTGCGAGAGAAAATATTCGTTTAGCAAGATTAATTACCAAACGCTGTAGAACCAAAAGACGCAACACTTCGAAGAAGGGGCCGTCAGTATTCTCTGTAGAAGCGAAAAACCTCTTGCACCAATGGTCTCCAAAACCACACAAAAAAAGCCAATTCGCTACAACGTCATCAACCGCAAAATAAAGCGCTGATTGCGAGAAAAAACCCTTCTACACCAAAGGTCATTGTGATGAAGATGGGTTTATCACTTGGTATCTTTAACAAACCAATAAATAAGGATTATAAGTTCATAAAGACTCTAATGCTTCCAGATGCACCTCGAAATAAAAAGTTGTTTTCATGCAATCACACCAATCCTATTTGACCACATATTTGTCAGTTCCCCTGATGCAACTCCCATCTATGTTGCTGCGCGTCCAAGTATACTACAATGAAAATTATAGGGAAGGTCTGTCATGATATATGGTCTAAGATTGATTTTTTTACACCCTTCGAAGAAATTCTTTATAGTAAAACACAGTTGTGGTGTTGGACAAAAGTGCTTAACTATGCCCTTCAGAATAAATACGATTAATGACGGAGAAAACATTTCCAAGGGCAGCATGGGACCACGTACGCCGTTATTACAAACTGTGATTAATCCTCACTATATGAAAAAAAGTGATAATCTACATGAATATACATTTTATATAATTAACCAAACACATCATAGGGTATTAAACTCTTTTTTGCTAGCTAGTAACTTTAATGCTACTTCCAATTAGAAATTACTGTGATAAGTGCTACAAATGCTCTCAATAAATAACCAATTTCACCCATGAAATTTAAAGCTGAAATTGTTTTATCGTAGCTTTCAAAAAATCAAAATACGGACAAAAAATCGTCATTTCAAAACATGAAAACATTTTAAAGAAATAAGTAAATCAAACTTGTATTATTTGAATAACTAATAAAAACAAATAAATCTGGTTACTATTTCACCCTATGACACTAATAGGAGAAATGTCTTACTTATCCTACAAATAAGAAAATTACAGCTGTAGAGGATATAACATTCAAGCTACCAAAAGGTTCAGAAAAGTACATAAACTGCTACAGCTTAGTGGGTCATGTTTCTTATATTAATATTTATGTACCCAAAGATCAGAGCTTTAACATCCATTAACTGTCTAAATTGAACTATGCGTAAATATTTTCAAAGTTAAAACTTTCACAAAAAAGTACATACTTATTGAATAATTGTTTAATGAAAGGAAAAATATCCTTTAAACTCGTCAATACAACGTTGGAGACTTTTTTTTTATTATTGCCTTTCGATAGTATTAATAAGTTTGACTATTGTTTCTTTTTAATTTTTGATACTGGTATATATTATTATAGCGAGCACGTTTAGTAAGAAATTATTACAACAATGTTGCTACGCTGAAGATTCTTTAAGGTGGTTGGTCATAGAACTTAGCTTCTTATATAGACATCTCGTGAGCATCTTACTTTATACGTGTTGGTGGAAAGTCAAAAACGTGCGCGTCATTATGAGGACCTCATTTTTGTATATATATGTTCAAACATCATAAAGCGAGTGAAATATGCGATTTCCATAAAGTTTATGATGCTTTATCCTTTTGCGAACAATATAAAATATTGTAATATGGAGAGTATGGTATTATTATTATGAAAATATGATATCATTTTTTTAGTTATGCTTAAATTTCAAGCACAAATTATATATTAGAGTGCTATTTTCTTTACTTAGAACGTTCTCTATACCAACATAAAACTATGTGTACACTTTTACACACTCGTATGCTGTTACTCTTACAGAGCAAATTAGTTTTGGAGCCTGCTTAGTTTCTTAGCTACAATTAGCCAGATCGGGGTTTAAATTTACCTAGTTTTTCAGCTTGTTTTAATACTCTGTTTTTGTTTTTTTTTCAGAATCTTAAAGTGATATAAATTGTGTAAATTCTAAAATAAAATCATAGTTGCGCATATTAGAGAACAACTCCATACCACAACAGTCTAAGAACGGAAGTTTCAGTATACTTCGACTTCCATTAGCCTAACTAGGTGCACAGTAGATAATATTATCCACCTGGTGGATGTTATCTAATACCTTTTGGCTAACCGTTGTATGGGATTTGTTGTGAAAAATATTTTCTCAAAAACAAAGGACGGTTATAACACTATATAGTAACGCTTATATGATAATAGAACAAAAGTCTTTAATTTTACAATATCAAATAACATTTACGTTTACCTCGAACTTTCATTGCTTAAAACTATTTAATTAATTACACTGTACAATTTTATGTACATTTTAACTATTTGTCTTGTAAAATTATCCCAAATTAAAATAAATCATTGTTCCTTAATTTAATTTGTTTATGGATAAACTTTAATGTTTACCAGTGTTTACAAGAAATATTGTCCAGTTATAAGCCTGTATATTGAATCTGGCGTTCCTACCTTTACCAGACTTCTTGATAATCCTTGCATACTCGATGTTGCCGAAGGTACATCCGATCACAAAATGGAGTAAACAATTTATTCCCAGTCCATCTGGCAACCACGTTTCAGGGATGGTGAGGAACAGAAATCATCTAATATGTCTAACGTTGGTCAAATAAAGGCATATTTTAATCTGAGTTCACGTCTACAACGCTACATTTGGTTGCGAAAATCTCGATAGATACTTGAAATTTCAATAATTACAATAGTGTCATGAGCCAGTAATTAAGCATGACGCACGTATGTAGTCATGTAATAGAAATCTCGTATATCTCACATAAACCGACCTTCTGAAAAACTAAATTCCATAATGATGCTCAGCACCTTCTATCTTTCTCACACGATAGCCGCTTGCTTAATGTATTATAAATATTCTGGCGGGAGATATACCGTTCAAAACCTATCTAAAACTTATCAGCTGTTTTATTAGTCACATCAGATGAAAATATGCCCAATGATCTTGTTAGAACAACCTCAGTAAGCGAATCCTGATGGCAGCGCAATGAAACTATCCTCTTTCTTTCACTAGCTGATACTACCACTGAACTTCTCTAGTGTGTGCATTTCTTTAGATATACAAAAGCCCATTTTCCATTCGTGGTTAAGCTAAGCTAGGGCAAGGCGTTAGGGTTTTAGTAACGTTCTTTTACAAATAAATAGGTTGTATTATTACAACAAACAAAGTCCGATCAAGTTGGGTGTTTATTTGGTAGAGTTGGCTCAAAGAAAAAGATACACTTTGTTATTGGAAGACGTAAGGAATTTTTCCGAGTTAGAATAACATTGAACGCGATGTTGACAGAAACAACAACCCTGGGGTCTTTTTATTTCTTACTTTTTATTCTGATAGTCATGATTATTTATATTGTACGTACCAATTTCGCAAGAAGAAAAACGTTTTGTCAAAATAGATTAAGGTTTTACTAAGTTTGCTATCTATATATCTATAACAAACAGTGTTAAATACTTACTCTATTTGAAAAAGTCATCTTCGTTTTCTATATATCTACGATGTTTATCTATGACTGTGAATACAGAATCACTGCAATGATACATTAATTTGCAACGTTACTGCTATGGAATGATCAGTTTAAAAGTACTTTTCAATATCATAATAAACTTAACTGCATTCCTTCATCAAAAACAGATTAAGTATCTAGATCCAGTTACATAATTAAACCATATTTTTATCATATAACAATAGCCATTGAAATTACATTAATCTATTTATTTGTTTATTATTCTTTTTGTCAATCTATAACTAGTAAGCTTAGTGGTCTGCCTTCAATACTTTAGCGGTACAATGTAATTAATTTCTGATTTCAAACTATTGCATTTTAATGTCTTATAAAACTAAGCAAGAATTTTTGTTTGTGACTTTAAATTTTCAAGTATAACTCTTTAGAAAAAAAATGCTCTTTTTACAGGAAATCAGCACATTCTTAGTAAATAGAAACATACCTGTTTGTTTGTTGCGGATATTCGCGCAAAGCTACACAACGGCAATCTACGCTAGCCGTCTATAATTTAATAATAAACTAGAGGAAAGACAGCTGATTAACATCATTCAGCATCCATTTGGACTACTGTAATTAAGTAGTGAAATCTGACTAGGTGGATCATGATTTGGAAGCAACGGAACGTGGACCATTGACTCTTCACAGTCTGATTCGCTAAAAACTAAACCACATCTAGAGCAGATACGTAGGATTATTTACGAATTTTATCAAGCTATGTAATACAGTATTTGATTGTAGTTCAAAGAAATATAGGATTATTTATTACACGAAAATCTCCAGCCCCTAAAAGCTATCTCAAAATACGTTGTTAAAGTGGTTGAAGAACTTCCTGTAAATCAAGTATTGTCAAAACTCAGTATAGGCAGATAAAATGAAATTGTAAAGCTTATGTTCTCCTTGCCCCCTAGTGGCACAGCGGTATGTCTGCAGACTTACAACTATAAATCGGGGTTCGATACCCGTGGTGGGCAGAGCACAGATAGCCCTTTGTGTAGCTTTGTGCTTAACTACAAAAGAAACAAACAATCCTGAACATTAGCGTCTGCTTGACAGGATAATAGGGAAGACACTTATTAACATTAATTTTGTATTTTATACACATGCAAAATGCACAAGTTTAGTGTGAAGAAAGACAAGAAGAAATCTTTTGACTTTATAATTGGAAAAGTTAATTGATTATTTGAAATAGATATAAAGAGTTTGCATTCTCTAACAGTAAGTTTTCTAATGTGTGATTGCTGGGTATTAGATATAATAGTGATAATAAATATAACGTACAAGTAACACTTTCTATAAAAACTAGAAACTTGTGCACAAGGATATGTAATAGCATCTTATGAATCTTGCACGTTCACACTTAGTTTCATAATACTTTAATGTACTGTTATTTGTATAACAGTTATATAGAATGCAGCTATGAATACCGTAATGTGTATTTTGGCCTAGAATAATATTTTTCAAAAGCAATCTTTTACAGTCATGTCCAGTCCACTCTATGAAACCTTTTCCACTGTATTGTTTGTTTGTTTGTTTTGGAATTTCGCGCAAAGCTACACGAGGGCTATCTGCGCTAGCCGTCCCTAATTTAGACAGTGTAGACTTAGAGGGAAGGCTAGC